CCTACATTTCAGACTAAGCGCAAGTTTCTCTGATTTCTATACATTGCCTACTTCACAAGCAACAATTACATGTATGTTGAATGGAGACCAGGGGGCAGTTTTACAAAAGAACTTACGACTAAGACCAAAAACTTATTAGTTGATTGTAAAATTTTGCAAAATTATTAATTGAGCTTAGAATTACTGTCATGAAAATATCTTTCTACATTCCTTTTAAAAAGTTTAGAACTATTTTCAATTTCACGCAAATAATAAATTTATAAGCAAGATAAATTTTGGTCTTAGTCGTAAGTTCTTTTGTAAAATGGGCCCCTGAATATGACAACACTTCATCTGAACCACTGAAATTCAATAAGGAACCACTATAGAGGTGTAACAATTTTAATTATAAATCAAAATTTGGACATAAAAAAAATTAAATTATAAAATTAACATTCTAGAGATTAAAAAAATCCACAAGATATTATGCATAATATTAAAATAATATAAGTTAAATTCTTTTGATCAATTACCAAACAATAAAACTGATAATATTAATACATGTAAAAATGAAAAATTAACATACTGTATTTCTGTGTAACATATAAAAGCACCATTAAATTCTTACCAAATTTTGTGTCTTGATAAATTTACAATATTTTTCATTATAAACTTAATTTACAAAGAATATCAGTATTTTTATTTCACTGTTTAAGATAAGAATGCAACATAACAAAAGCAAATTAAAAGAAATACCATACTTGTACATGTGCAATTTCAATACTTGACTGAAAAATTTATAAATACAAGACATAATACAAATGCCAAAATACCTTATTTTATAGTGATAAGCAAACCTTGTGACTTTAAAAGTTATAGTTTAAAAATCATCTTAAAATCAAAACATTGCAAGATATACAGTCTACTATTAAACTCAAAATTAAACATATTTTAAGCATACTTAAGATTGTATTTACATGTACATGATACAGTGAAACCTGTCTAATTCAGATGTTGTGTAATCCAAAATCTTGTCTTTTACAGTGTAAACTCTTTAAAGATCCTTGCAATAAATTCAATAGTCAAAAATGTTTGTCTTTTAAATCCGAAATACTGTCTTACACATAAATATGCTTCTGTGGGAAAAATAACTTGTATCACAATATAAATACAATTTTACACATATAATTGTATCTATATGTACATGTAGACAACTCAAAACATAGTGCTAATGAGATTCACTGATTTGCATTAAAACATACATATGGAGATTCCATGGGAAATTCAAAGGAAATCAAACCTAATACATAAAACAAAATAAATAGGCAGGAACTCGGATGATGATTTAGGATCTGTCCTGTTATTGCAGATTACCTGAAATATGGTAGATGTAAAGTGATTTATTGTAATATCACCAGTTTCCACACATCTGAGATATGTGCAGTTCACAAAAATACCATATACACATCTCTAACAAAACCTAGACAAGCAGTACAAAACAAAAAAAATTATCCGTTGAAATTTAATTAAACATTTGTCAATTTTTAAATTTCACTGACAATTGAAGTATCAAAGACTTATATAACATATATTTTTTGGCATACTTATATGATTGTAAATTATGCTTACCAAATTAGTACTTTTATTTATTTTAGAAATGCATATCATTGATATGAAATGCTGATATCTAGTTTAATTACAATGTATAATATACACCAATAAAATGTCATAGCACTAATACAGCAACATACAAATTTGTTGTGGAATTCTGAAACTACCTTACATCTTAGCATGAGGACAGGGCCAGGTGATGAAGAAGTTGTACACTGAACAATGTGTGAACAGAGTGATGGAGACATTAAAGCAGTGAAACGGTATGCATATATAACAAGGTTTGTAAAATAACACTTCTGACCATTGATAGATGAAGCTGGATTATCAATGGCAGGTTTTAAAGGCACAACTCTGGGGTTAACCATAACATGCATAATGTCATTTTTTCTATAGTTTTGTTATTAATAAAGAATTTTTTTTTAATTTTAGTTTTTTTTTAACATAGAAACACTGCTTTCTGTGCTTGCTGTGTATAAAGCTGTGGAAAAAGAAATCACAATCCTAAAAGAACACAAAGACACAAGTAAAATCAATGACTTCAGTACATTTGGAGAATGTACAATAATTAATAAGTAAGAACTAATTCCTGATAGAACAGGACTGACGATTGAGGTTACATCACATGACTTGCTCACTTGTCTACAATTTATTGTGTCACAATGCAATTTTCAATTTTCATTATGGCATCCAAGAAAAATTACAAAAAATGTATTTTTTGTAAGCACCTTGTATTCAAGGAAGCACAAAGGAGTTTTTGGGTCATACACTATATGTTAGTGTTTAGATACTTCACTACTTTTTTTCTAAATGTTGAGACTTAACCATTTTATGAATCTTCATCAACACAAGGTTCAGTTGTACAGTACATGTCACCATGTACTATCAAAAACTCCTTAAGTTGTGTCTGTTGAAAATCCTAATGACTATTTAACAAAAATAATGCTATATACCGTAATTGCCTGGAAATTTAAACTCGATTAAAGCACACAATTATGTATATACTTTAATTTTTGTTTTGTCATCTACAAAGCAGATATACCTGTTGATACATATTACATTGTACCTAAAAATTAGGTTAATAAAAATTGTCATCAAAAATATCGTATCTGAGAAATTCATATCATTAATCTACAAACAATTTTAAAAATTACAACAGTCGTTAGTTTTGTGATAGCCTGCACCTGATCTATTCAGTCTCTACTGAGGATTCTTGCTCAGAAACAGTATTTTTCCGTTTTTATTTTTGGCTGGTATTAGACTTTCTGACTGTCGGTGTGGTCTTTGAGTGGAATCTGTGACTCGTAGTTATAGCTGTCATCCATCCTCTGTCTCTGGGCTCGGTGATCCTTCTTGTAAGGTCCCCACTTCTCCGTTGGTTTGGAAAGGTGCTTGATAAGCTTTAGAAAGAAACCATGAAAAGGATTTACCAAGAGCTCTGAAGAATCAAGAGAGCTTGATAGAATGGACTTGGTAAACAATAATATTGCTGTTATAAAACAAAGAAATTCCTATCATTATCATGAAAAGGGTCTTTTTTAATGTGATGAAAAATTTGTGAAATAAATTAATAATATATTCACAATGAGGATTTGTAAACTTACTTCAATAAAAGACCCTGAGAATTGACTCCGACGACTTAGGACCATGTAGACTGCGACAATGGGGATCATTATAATGGAAGCTATGGAGATTAGACAGCCCACCCCGTCAGCCCAGCCCGGGAACTTCTCCTTGTTATACTCCGTAGGGCTAAAATCAATAGCCGTAAATAGCAGGATACCCTGTCAAAAGAACAAAATTCGTATTAAAGAAAGTCAAACCTGACATCCAGACAAGGTAGAAATAATATCTAAAGGGGCTCAAAGAATGAACAAGAAGTCTTTAACAATACTGTAGTACAACTAAGTTACATTATAATAATGGAAGAAAATAGTTCCTCCAAGATTTGAAAACATTACAATTAGGCGTGGAGCTACTGTGCATTGTTCTTTAAAATTTTTTACTTGTAGAGATACAGATTAAACTGCTATGAAATTATAAATTAATCTGATTCTTACCAACAGAGCTATTGGAGCCACGAACTTCCAGCTGTATTTCCATATATTGCTAGGTCGAGTTCCCAACATCAACTCAATGTCTGTCAAAAACCTGTCAGCACCTACAAAATTTTAACCTTTTCATATTTCTTATATTTATTTGGTACCTGTACTAGAAATAATATTTTCATTACAAACTATAATACTGAGTAAACATAGTCAGAGAGAACACTTCTAAGAGCTGTCAAAGGAAAATGCCAACTGTACTTTATTTTAAGTGATCTTCGAATTTATGTAAGATTTCATATGAAGTACCCTGGTATGCTTTTAGAGATAGAAAATTTCTCGTGTCAAGTTAACCCACCCCACCCCTCTCATTCCTTTGTTCTATAATTTCCAAACTTTTTAATTTATTCGGCAGACATTTACATATACCGGTAGTTGGGTGTGTATCATTACCACTACATTTGAGAAATTTTCATTATCGCTACATAGTCATTACCACTACAAAAAATGTTACATTACCGCTACATAAAAAAGTATACATTACCGCTACATTGTCTCTTTCACTAACCAGCCACTTACGAGTGTACAGATTGATTTTTAAGTATAACATATATAGGCATAAGACCTGTTTCTCCTGCTCATCACAGGGAGTTGAAAGAAGGACTTTGAGCAGGATATTTTATTAATTTTTATATATTTTGTGTTTTAAAACACTTTAAATTTTTTAAATTAATCAATCAATTTTACACAATCAGTAAAGCTATGACTGTCATTTGCTAAACATACTGCTATGTTGTAATTTCACCTATTTCATGTGAACTGTAAATCTTTGTGAAAGCTTTCTGATTGGAACTCATATTCCGTACCTGCATACCTGGCTGATTCGATATGTAGCAGTATAAATGAGTTTTTTCGACCAAAAATTTGTAGTGGCAATGATCGATTGAAATTTTGAAAAAAATGTAGCGGTATTGATTTGAAATTTTTGGTGATGTAGTGGTAACGTTGACCTCCCCAGTAATTATATTTTATCAATATAAATATCCCCTACAATGGACTCACCATATACCCAGGATATTCCTATACACTCCACCATACCAATAAACAGGAGGGAGTAGGTGGCAGCGTAATTATCAAACAACTGCAGCATGTACATTCCACCCTGTCATAATACATACATATACATATATAGTTATGGGTAAGAGTCACATGAATAATGACCCAAATTGTCACATGTTGTTTTCTTTTATGGTCTGTGTTGAATAAACTTCTCTAGTGCACTTTACAAATTCCATCTTTCTGAATCCATTAAAATCTATGATTTAGTATATTTAAACAGCACAGGTAATTTAATTCATTATTCATTATATATAAGAACTTATTACTACACGACCCTACAGACCTGAGAGCAGAAGATGAGTCCGATCAGGAAACAGAAGATGGCGATGACGATCAATAACAACGTCTTCCTGTGACCTTTACGGAGGTGAGGAAACTGATCCAGCAATGTAGTATGTACGGTAGTTACCGTGGAAATCTATAAAGAAAGCAAGAACACTGGATTTTAAATGATAATGATGTGGTTAATACAAAATCAATTTGTTGTGGTATGTCATCACAAATTATATAGTCTACATTTGTTTATTTCATTTTCTTTTCTTTTTTTTCATGACACAGTGTCCAGGGCTGTAATGTCATAGTTATGTGGTCGAGGTTGGAACAACATCATACATGTATCTGGAGAAACTTTAGCAATTTTAGTCTACTTCAGAATTGTTTATTACCTTTATCTTAAAACAAGCTAATGACGAAAAGGCAAATCAAGTTTTACCATACTTCTGATATTCTTTCTGTCACAAAATATCTCTTTTATTCAGAAAATAAATTACATTTCTAAACAAAATTTCACAGTTGAAAATGTAATAAATTCCCAAACAGTAATTTTTTGATATCATTCTTATTAAGTTATAAATCTCCCTCACATTCAAGTTGCCCACTGTCCTCACAACTTTAGCGCAAAAAAGTGTAAAAAAAATAAAAAATAAAGATAAGACACTGTGGTGAGAGGGGGGTACAGAGGGAGGGGAGGACACACCTGTTATTTTACCTGGTTAAGACACACCTCTATAAATACCTGTAATTTTACCTATTATGTCAAATATCCTGGCCTGGGTACATTATACTTTACCTGTGTTCCAAGTCCAAGAGTGATTAGCATAGCAAAGAAAAGCACAGACCACAATTGTGAAAGGGGGAGTTTTGTCACTACATCAGGGTATGCTACAAAGGCCAATCCTGCACCTGTTAAAAGGGAACCGAAAAATCTAACATCAAATCCCTTATCTACATGTTCTCACCCATCACTCATGCCAAATTATAATTCACACATACTTCTCCATTCCTGTAGAAAACAGGAGATGGAAACAGAACCCCTTTAGGTTTCTTTATATTGTTTTCTAAGAGTTCTAGTCAAAGGTACATACTTTAAATTATTATTTCTTGGTTAAAAACAATTTATCCCCCTTGTTTACAAAAGGTTGATACCTTCAGTAGCAACTTTATCAATAGGCTGCTCCAACACCTCTGCCATGTAACCAATGATGCTGAAAATGACCAGGCCAGCGAAGACACTAGTCACAGAGTCCAGTACCGACACAATGATGGCATCCCTGTCAGAAAGAGATAACACCAGTGATACATTCATAATCTCCAGTTTTATAATGAATAACATCTTATGAATTTCAGATACACTCACAACAAAAAAAATTACTTGATTGCGCTTTACTTGACTTGAAATAGTTTTGTGACTTACATTTTAGAATTGTTGTTGAACTTGTTGTAACTGGCCAGGGTAATCAGCCCTCCCCAGCAAGGGGACAGGGAGAAGAAAATCTGTACAGCAGCATCTCCCCACACCTACAAACAAACAAGTAGATGTAACAGGGGGACAGGGAGAAGAAAATCTGTACGGCAGCATCTCCCCACACCTACAAACAAACAAGTAGATATAACAGGGGGACAAGGTGAAGAAAATCAGCATCTCCCCAGACCTACAAACAAACAAGTAGATATAACAAGTGGACAGGGTGAAGAAAATCAGCATCTCCCCAGACCTACAAACAAACAAGTAGATATAACAAGTGGACAGGGTGAAGAAAATCAGCATCTCCCCAGACCTACAAACAAACAAGTAGATATAACAGGGGGTCATGAAGAAGAAAATCAGCATCTCTTCACACCTACAAACAAACGAGTAGATATAAGAGGGGAACAGGGAGAAGAAAACCTGTACAACAGCACCTCCTCCCATACCTACAAACACAGTGAGAAGTAAAATCTACGGAAGCCCATTAGTGCCAACCTCTATATATAAAGGAAATGCAATATATAAAAGCAAACCTCGATATATAAAGGAAATACAATATATATAAACAAGACCTGGATATATCAGGCCTTTCAAAATGTGCCGGTACCAGGTACTTTTACCTGGCTGATATTAAGAAAGTACCGGCCAAAATATTTGTTGGAGAAAGGTTTGATAACATATTTAGTTAAAATTGCTTCCACAATATATAAACGAAAAAGCCTGATATATATAAAGATATATATAAACGAAACCTGGATATATATAAACAAAACCTCGATATATATAAAGAGAAAAGCGATATATATAAACAAACCCTCGATATATATAAAGAGAAATGCTATATATATAAAGAGAAAATTTTCCACTGCGTGACCTGTAGCACTCAGCTGTCCATCAAGATTATATACAGATTAACTCCTGGCAGGGGGAAATCAGTTATACAGTACTCAGAACTTTCCCAGAATCGGCAAAATGTTGCTATTTAATAGTGTTTATTTGTTTGTACATGCATATATCAATGAACTGTAATTGTAATATTACTTAAAATAATGCACTTAATTGAGAAGATGAGCATTTAATTAAATGCATTCATGATTAAGTATATGTGTTACATTAAAAGTTTAAATCTAAAGTTTAAACTTATCTAGATAGTTACAGATAAGTTTAAATTTTAGATTTAAACTTTTAATGTAATATATGTATCGTATTTTCTGTGTTTTATTGGCTTTACATGTATTTTGCTCAATTTCGTTTTTTTTACAACCTACCTTTTTTTTTTTTTTTTTTTTTACCAAACTTACTAATTTTGGTTTCACAACCGAGAATTTATGAAAATGTAATGTTAAACGTGGAGTCTTAACAAGTACTTTTTAATGCCCTAATTCAAATTTATTTAAATTCATTATAAAAATAATTTACTAGTACACCCATTGATTGTAAAAAAAAAGAATCGGAATGGGAGAGAGGGGAGAGATGAAGATACCCACTTCATTTGAATATGAGGGAAGAAAGCGACATGTACTTTTACCGTATAATTATGTAATAATTTAATGGTCCTTTGATGTGAAAAAAATAAAGTATTTGTAATAGATAAAAAGAAATGAGTTAGTGCATGCACACTTACATAATTAAACTGCGGATTTTTGTCCCACATTGTAAATTAAATCGATTTGAAAATCTACATCATGTAAAAACATAGTAAAACGTTAAAGAACTTATAAAAAATATGATAAACACACTTGTATTTTTGCACCAAATAATATTCGATTGAAAAAGACCCCCAACATTTAATTCTATGTAATATACATTTTAAGCCGAAAAGTCATTCATTGGTGTAATTCTGCCCAACACGTCTGAAATGTAAGAAGAACAGAGTGTTTAAGCTTTAGATTTAATTGCCATAATTATCAAGATACACAAAGGAAGAAAACACAACACGCTGAATACCATCCTGAAATATCCACACCAACTGATTGCAATCAAAACATTGGACCGTGAGCTGCTTATCATATGTTGGCAAAGTCTCTGTTGTAATGTAGGTCATTAAACATGTTAAAGGTCAGGCAGTGGAAATTTTTCTCTTTATATATATCGAAGTTTTGTTTATATATATCGCATTTCCTTTATATATATCGAGGTTTTGTTTATATATATCGCATTTCCTTTATATATAAATCGAGGTTTTCTTTATATATATCGCATTTCCTTTATATATATCGAGGTTTTCTTTATATATATATATCGCATTTTCTTTATATTTATATATCGCTTTTCCTTAATATATACAGGTTGGCACTAATGGGCTTCCGTAAAAATCTTATAGCCATTAAAATGAACAAATAAAACAGATCAAAGTTCATTATTTCTCTTTGTTTGAACCACAAATTGGAATTAAACTCTCGTGCTTAAAAAGGAGGGTTTTTTTAGATTTTTTTTAAAGTCAATAACCTGTGCTCTATCAAATCTATGCTCTATCAAACCTATGCTCTATCATACCTATGCTCTATCAAACCTGTGCTCTATCTTACCTGTGCCTTATCAAACCTATGCTTTATCATACCTATGCTTTATCATACCTTTGCTCTATCATACCTGCGCTCTATCTTACCTGTGTTCTATCATACCTGTGCTCTATCTTACCTGTGCCCTGGCTAGTTTGTCCCACTGTGGAGTTACGTAGTACACAATTCCTTTCAGAGATCCAGGCAGAGTCAGGCCTCTTATTAACAAGATCAACAGAACCACATACGGGAAGAAGGCGGTGAAGTAAACGGCCTACAGAACAAAATGTACCCAGATGTTTTAATACGAATAGAATTAAGAATATAATAAATAATGCTACTTAATTCTTTTTTTTTAACTTTGAAAATTACCATCAAACAATAAATTAAAATTCTGTAATTTAGTAGTATATCTATACTACATGTAGGAATTCTTTCAGAATGTGATTCACTGTCATGATACATTTTTCATTCTCATTCACTCAATGTTGTCCTTACTTTTCCCGAAGTTTTGATGCCCTTGGCCAGACAGATACAGACCAGCACCCAAGCCAGCAGTAGACACCCCGCCAGCTCCCATTTAATGTCCCCCAGGGTGTGGATCCCCTCCGTAATGTCAAGGACACTCTTACTGAACAGATAAATACAGAGCATGTGATACAAATACGTGTATGACATTTACTGAGACAATCCTAATACTGCACACACAAATACAGATCATGTGATACATGTTTGTCATTTTTAAAGAAAAATAAACACATCATTTATTTTCTCTTCATCTGTCTATGTCCCTTTTCAGTCCCCTACCGGTGAAACCAGAGGAAACTATAGGTTTCCTCTGAGTCTGTCCCTCCGTCCGTCTGTCTGTCTCCATTTCTGTCTGTCAGTCTGTCCTACTTGGTTTTCCAAACTTTTTTTTCTAAACGCTTGCAGATATTGAGCTGAATTTTGGTTTGAGAGTGTATCTTGATGAGTTACAGACCAAGTTTGAATGTCGTTTGGCTTCATTGCTTTTTGACGGATTTATGGCATTTTTAATTTTTCTTAATGCTGCGCTAAATTCCGAAGGTCAACATGGTGAATATGAAGCGAGAAAAATATGTTGAAACAATGAGTTGAATTTTCGTCTTTATGTGGATCAAAATTTTAACATCAAGCAGTTTTACCTTGGTCATGACTTTTGCATATTATAAAATGACATCCTAAAGAGCAAGAGGCCCACAGGCCTTATAGGTCACCTGAGTATCATGTAACAACTTTCCAGCGATTGTATTTGGTTCGTGTTTTAATCCAAAAGCCATGAAATTCACAAATTTTGAAAGAGGCACCATTGCTTATCAAAGGGCAGATTTCAAAGCATTAATTTATTTTTAGTCAAAGTACCCCCATGGTACCCCTGACCCAGCGGCCCTGAAATTATCTATTTTGAAAGAGGCCCCTCTCTTCATTATAAGGCCAGCATTTTTTTTTTATGTTTAGGTTTAGTTTTAGTTATGAACATGAGAATAAAAAAGTCCCGAAGGAGAAGGAAATAAAAAAAAATTTTTTTTGATAAATCAATTATTAACATTTGTACATTCTTTTTTTTTATGCTACTCTAATAGGCTCCTTACCACTGGACACATAATGCTTACAAATAGGAAAGTAGAACATTTAATTGCTTATTTCATCATCTGCCAGTTTGGGCCAGTTATATAAATTTTGTGATGTTGGTCAAAATATATTTTAAACAAGAGGCCCATGGGCCTTATAGGTCACCTGAGTATCATGTAACAACTTTCCAGCGATTGTATTTGGTTCGTGTTTTAAGCCAAAAGCCATGAAATTCACAAATTTTGAAAGAGGCACCATTGCTTATCAAAGGGCAGATTTCAAAGCATTAATTTATTTTTAGTCAAAGTACCCCCCTGGTACCCCTGACCCAGCAGCCCTGAAATTATCTATAATTTTGAAAGAGGCCCCTTTCTTCATTATAAGGCCAGCATTTTTTTTTATGTTTAGGTTTAATTATGAACATGAGAATAAAAAAGTCCCGAAGGAGAAGGAAATAAAAATTTTTTTTTGATAAATCAATTATTAACATTTGTACATTCTTTTTTTAAGCTATCCTAATAGGCTCCTTACCACTGGACACATAATGCTTACAAATAGGAAAGTAGAACATTTAATTGCTTATTCTATCATCTGCCAGTTTGGGCCAGTTATATAAATTTTGTGATGTTGATCCAAATATATTTTAAAAAATCAGTTCTTTAAAAGTCTTTCAATATATCTTCATTTTTTTAATATGTGTTAGGTGAATGTGTAGACATTGTTCTAAAATTTACTTGATGCCTAAAATTATAATTCCTATCATAAAACAGACAGGGAGTATTGGGGAGTAGGGTCAACATTTTTTCAATTAAGTGTAAAATAATTTTTCTGGCTGATACAAATGATACTACATGCCTGTATATATTTGTATATTCTTGCCTTTTAATAGTTGAATTTTTTTTATTTCTTCAGGTTATTGTTCATTTCTTCCTCAAATGGACTTCACTTCTCCCATAGTTTTATTCATTACATCTGATGCATAAGCAACCATTTTTTGAAGAATGATGCTTAGACTGTAAGCTATAACAGAGACCTAAACAATGTCCCTGGCAATATGCAATAGCTACCACGGGCAGTTTAAAACCTGGGGGAGGAAAATAATTTACAGTTACTTTTGAAACGAATACATAATTATCTCTCCAGCATGTCATTGTGCAACAAAGTCGTCAGCATTTTATTTGTCCTTTGAACGGGTGAAACGTTTTGAATGGCACTCTTATCGATGAATTTTACACTAAACCAAGCTATCTTCTCAGATCTAGCTTTATTTACCCACCGTATCGTAAAACCGGAAGTGCGAGTTAGTAAATTTGAAATCTCGATCCCGACTCAAATTTGACATTGGAAAGAAAAAAATTGTTTCATTTTTTTCTGAAAATTCAAAACCTTGAGCGGAGGCTTTGTACAACTGAAAATAAAATAAATCCTGGCCTTAAATATGTAATTAGATCATTAGCATATTAACCAGGAGCAAAAGATAAGATGTTCAAAGAATTCATGCATTTCACTATATAATCATTAGAGCCCCACCCTAAAACAAGAACCCCTGACCCTGGGGCCATAAAATTCACAATTTTGGTAGAGGCACTCTTGCTCATCATAACTATGTACTTAGTTAGTTTATTTAATACCCAGGAGCAGAGAAGAAGATTTTCAAAGAAATAATGTATTTTCACTACATAATCAATAGAGCCCCACCCTAACACCAGAACCCCTCACCCTGGGGCCATAAAATTCACAATTTTGGTAGAGGCACTCTTGCTCATCATAACTATGTACTTTGTTGGTTTATTTAATACCCAGGAGCAGAGAAGAAGATTTTCAAAGAAATAATGCATTTTCACTACCTACTTATTTAGCCCCGCCCTAGCACTAGAACCCCTGACCCTGGGGCCATGAATTTCACAATTTTGGTAGAGGACTCATTGCTGATTACAATCATGCAAACAGTTCGATTGCTTGATGTCCAGGAGTAAAGAAGAAGATTTTTAAAGATTGCATTAATTTTAGTGGTTTTGGCCCAACCCCTCAGGCCCCAGGGGGGGCAGGGATCATGAAATTCGCAATTTTTGTTCCCCTTTACCCATAGATGCTTTGTGCCAAATTTGGTTGAAATTGGTTCAGTGGTTGCAGAGAAGAAGCTGAAAATGTTCAAATGTTAACGCACGACGACGGACGAAAACAGATAGCAATAGGTCACCTGAGTTTACTCAGGTGACCTAAAAAGGGGAACCTGGTATGGGACATGTATAGCTTATGCAATACTCTCAGAATGCCTGTTTATCATGTATCAAATACGTCTATAATTTTTGGCAGACTTCAGAAAAACTTACGTCAAATTTCCCAGTATATATTTTAAGATTTAGCCATGAAAGTAATAACTAAATTGTATCTGAAAAATTTGTATTACTGTATATGTAATACTGGGCACTTATGTGTTTGATAGTGACTTACTAACTTTTTTTGTAAATACTCTGCATACACATGTATTAATGCATGTTTTCTTA